GTTAATTGTCTGTCATTTGTCTACATTTTGTAGCAGAGCTCATAAATATACCTCTCACAACTTTTTATAGCCATATACATCCTTACAGTACAACTTCTCATCATGGCAAAAATTAACACATTCATGCACAGACCAGTATGTATAGAGCCTTAAAATTATGCTTAATAAGTATATTTCAGTATTTGTATCTTATTAGAAATGATGTAGCATAAGTTTTAAGTCACCAAAAGATATTGGAGACTGTCTTCTAGAAAACATAATTATTACTGAAGTAAAGTCTGAATAAGGATTATATTTGGCTGAACACATATTGACAGTTTCATAATCTTAAACAATGGGTGGATATAATGCTACTTTACTCTGTCAGTGAACCTGTATAAATTTAGGAAGAACAGATCCAAACAGAATAAAGTGTATGTTTGTATTATATTTGACTCTGATAACTTAGAGGACAGCTGTTTTTTTTATTTTGGTATCATTAATCTACAGTTACATGAGGAACATTATGTTTACTAGGCTCCCCCCTTCACCAAGTCCCCCCCACAAACCCCATTACAGTCACTGCCCATCAGCATAGTAAGATGCTGTAGAATCACTACTTGTCTTTCTGTGTCGCACAGCTCTCCCAATGCCTCCGCCACATTATACATGCTAATCGTAATGCCCCCTTTCTCCCCCCCCATTATCCCTCCCTTCCCACCCATCCTCCTCAGTCCCTTTCCCTTTGGTAACTGTTAGTCCATTCCCGGGTTCTGTGATTCTGCTGCTGTTTTGTTCCTTCAGATTTTCTTTGTTCGTATACTCCACATATGAGTGAAATCATTTGGTACTTGTCTTTCTCCGCTTGGCTTATTTCACTGAGCATAATACCCTCTAGCTCCATCCATGTTGTTGCAAATGGTAGGATTTGTTTCCTTCTCATGGCTGAATAATATTCCATTGTGTATATGTACCACATCTTCTTTATCCATTCATCTACTGATGGACACTTAGGTTGCTTCCATTTCTTGGCTATTGGAAATAGTGCTGCGTTAAACATAGGGGTGCATCTGTCTTTTTCAAACTGGGCTGCTGTATTCTTAGGTTAAATTCCTAGAAGTGGGATTCCAGGGTCAAATCGTATTTCTATTTTGAGCTTTTTGAGGAACCTCCATATTGCTTTCCACAGTGGCTGAACTAATTTACATTCCCACCAGCAGTGTAGGAGGGTTCCCCTTTCTCCACAACCTCACCAACATTTGTTGTTGTTTGAAGACAGCTGTTTTTATTAAACCAACAATATTAAACTGGATTAATGCCCTAATGGCAAATCATGTAGTGAGTGGGAGAAGAGGAGGGAGGGTTGAAAGACAGGAAATTACTGTTATGGAACAAATCGTGTCCCCCGCAAAAGGTAGGTTGATGTCCTAATTCTGGTACCTGTGAATGTGGTCTTATTTAGAAATAGGGTCTCTGCAGGTATAAGCCAAGGATTGCCAGCAATCACCACATGCTAGGACAAGGCAAGGAAGGATTGTCCGTTAGAGCCTTCTGAGGGAAGATGGCCCTGCTGACCCCTTGATTTCAAACTTCAAGCTTCCAGAGCTGTGAGACTACACATTTCTATTGTTTTCTGCTGCCTAATTTGTGGTATTTTGTTATGACAGCCCTAGGAAACAAACTAGCTCGCAAGCTATGGGACTAGATAATTAAGTCAGACACAAGTCCTTAAGGAAGGCAGGAGAGAGAACACTCTCTGCAGTTCTCCTCTAACGCTCCTTGCACGGTCCTAATCTGCAGAATCCTCCCTAGCTCAGTCCTCAACTGAGGAAGCAAGAGAACTGCCTTGGAAACTCTCCACTAGAGAAACAAAGGGAAAACACAAGAGGCCTTGCAGAAGAGCCAGAGAAACTCTCTGCCTGAAAAAAAAAAATTGATGTAACTGCTTAGCACTTTGCAACAGACAAATACTAGAGCACTGGGCTCAGGCGTTGTGACTCACCATCGTGGATCCCAGGTCCCCAGAACAGTCAGCTCTCCATCTGAGACATGGCACCAGGAAACTGTAAAAACAAAAACATCCAGATTTTGGTAAGAAGAGACTTTATTTGAAAAGACTATTGTAGGTGGCTGCCAGGGGCTGGGGAGGCACAAGGCTGGGGAGGTGCAAGGAGGAGCAGAGATTTGCTGTGTAATGGGTACTGAGTTTCAGTTTTGCAAGATGACAAAGTTCTGGAGATCAGTTGCTCAACAATGTAAATATACTTAACACTACTGAAGTGTGAACTTAAAAATGGTTAAGATGGGAAAGTTGATGGTATATATTTTGCTACAATTAAACAATTTTTTAAATATTGTAAGAAAAGACATACTACTGGGGAGTGACTATTTTAATTCAGAGAACACTCTGACCACAAGATCTCTAAGCATCTCAGAGATCAGGCAGAAAGTGCTTCTTCTTTTATAAAGAGGAGTAAACAAAGCTAGAAAGAGCTGAGTGTCGGGAGACAGGTGAGTGGATTGGACCACTGATCAGGGAATGTCTTTGTGCTCAGCTTCCTGGGAGAGCCAGTTAAGGAAGGGCAGTTCTGTATTCCTATGCTGGTTCAGACTGAAGGGGGTGCTGAAGTCCAGGGCACATTCCGGAGGGAAGAAGCTTGAGCAGAGTTTGATGAAGGCGGATTGGTGGTGGGTATTCGGGCCAGACTGGTCAGTGGGGGCAAACTGTTCAACTGATCATTTATGAGACCAAAAATGGGAATTTAGAGGGTATGTGTCTGGCCTTGTCACAGGTCAACAAGAGAGTTATCACCAGACTTACTTGAGTCATTTAAGGAAGGGTGGGTCTTTGCAGGAAGCCCTTTCCTGGAATACACTGGGGCAGGGGATTTCTGCTTCCAGGAAGTGCAGGTGAAGTTCAACATTATCACCCCTCTGCACCTGCTCTCTCCCACTCCTGCAGTCCTCACCCTGACAGTAAGTGTCTGAGCCATGAGCTTTGGAAGGAGGGCTCCACTGAAGTTCACCTGTCCTCACGCATAAAGGTTCAATAAGTGAGAGCTATGGTTTGTATGTTCCTGGCATCATGCTGGGGACATGGCATACCTTATGTCACTTATTTCTCAAAATAACCCGATTCACTGGGTGGAGGTTTTAATTGCCATTTTACAGTTGAAGAAACTGAGGTACAAGTCACATGATTAATATCACCTTGTTAATGTTCATCACATAAATAGTGTATTTGTTTCCTAGGGCTGCTGTGCAAATGACCACAAACTTGGTGACTTAAAACAACAGAAATGTACTGTCTCAATGAGGGAAACTAGAAGTCCAAAATTTGGATGTCAGTCACACCGTGCTCTCTCTTAAATCACTAAGGAGGTGTGAGGCTTTGCCTTTTCCTACCTTCTTGGGGTTGCTGGCAATCCTTGGCATTCCTTGGTTTGTGGATGCATCCTTCCAGTGTCTGTTTCCTCTGTCACATGGTGTTCTCCCTGTGTGCGCCTTGGTGCTCAAATTTGCCTCTTATAAAGGACACCAGTCATTGGATTAAGACCCACTCTAATCCAGAATGACCTCATTTTAACTTGAATACATTAGCAAAGCCCTAGTCCCAAATAAGGCCATATTCACAGGTGTTGGGTATTAAGACTTGAACACATCTTTCTGAGGCACACAATTCAACCCATAACAGTTTATAAGTGTTGGAGCTAGGGTTCTGAACCCCTCCCTAGTCATTGCAGAGTGGAGTCTGGGACCAGTAAAAATGACCCATTGGGAGTGCTAAGACAGTATTAAAATGTCCATTTATTTTTTATTTTCATCTTTTAAAATTTTCTATTTGTGTTTTATGATGTATGTAATGTATTTACATAGTACATGAATTATGCTCTATAAAGACATATATATTCAGTGAATACTCAAAAATTTACAACTAACTGGACTCTGAAAAAAAAGTTTAAAGCCCTGTACCTGCTCTACTTCCCCTAACCCACCTATTAAACCGGTGGTCACTCATGTCTTCCTCTCTTTTTAATAATCATCTCAGCAGAATACTACTCCACTGTTTGAGATTCGCAGTGAGGTGTTCCCAGTCCCCCCCCAGCACCCCCAGGACCCACAGAATTTTGTTGAAAAGGGCTTAGTTTGAAAAAAAGAACAGTTACCAGGCTTGAGCCAAGGTGACCCGAAGCTAGAACCTTAAAAATGAGGCAATTTGGCAAGCATTTGGTTTCTTCAGTTTCTATCTTTACATATTTCAATGACTTTTGTCTGATCATCAGTTCTTTTTAACACTTTAGACAGACTGACAGAGCCAGTGTTTAATGTAAGTCAGGTCTGAAGATATGCTTTTAATGGTCTGAACAATTTGATGTCAGTTGTCAAGGGTGGGGAGGCATAGACTTAAATACAGCTTTTCAAAAGAGGGGACCTATTGCAAACCAGTAGCTGTCATGATTACACTTCTGTTCTTCGCACATCAGTTCTACAGGTTTCCCTTTATGTATGATACCATCCAAGACCCACCTTTTCCCCCAACACACATGCATACACTTTTCCAGGAATTGTTTTGGGCTCTAGAAAGACTGATAGACTCATAGGTAAACAAATCTCAAAAAATAGAGAAGGTGCATTTGAAAATCCATTTATTTATGTATTTTAAAACAGGGGAAGTCAAAGTAGACAAGGCAAAACGTGTACATTTGAAAAGAGATTCAGATATCCATGGAAAAGAATTGTTCAGAAGAACAAAGGATAGTATAATGTGAAATGAGTGACAGTATTTTTCAAGACAGTGAAACGTTAAGGATATTTTTGTTAGTTGATTGTTCAACATTTAGAACATTTGACATAAGGGTCTACCAATGGCAGAGGGGTGATACCCTCCTCATGGGTTATTTGAGCTTCTGTGTGAACCTAAGTATATTTTTGTTATAATTTATCCCACCTGTGTCTGTCAATTCCTTTCCACTTGCCTCCTCCCATGACGGTCTGGCTCATGTTTCTTCATAAAGCTGTAAGCCAGTTATTAATAACAGCCCAGTGAGTCTCCCTTTCCACCTAGGAGCATATGGTGTTTTTCACAAAAGAGAGAGATCATCTCCTTGACTTTGGACTTTGCTTATTGAACCCCTAAACAGTAAGTTTTGGTTTTTAAAATACGTGGCATTTTTAAGTGTTGATGTAAGAGAAAAGTTTAGTAAAACTTCTGTTTGCTTTTGGTAAAGGGAGAATATAGTAAATTAAAATTTAGACTCATAAAGCCTGTTTCTCCTCCCTGCATTTCAACATCTTTCCAATTTTTATAAGGCCAAATGTAAGAAAGATTAATGAATTGGAGTTCTCTTCCTTCCATTTCCTTCTGGTTAAATAAAAGCAGGAGGAAAAAAGCCAGGGATTAATAATATCTAAATTACTTGACCAAGCCTTGTAGCTGTACTTGGTATTCTTGTCTCCTGGCATTTCCTCTCCAAGTCAAGATTTCAAAGAGAAATTTCACAAATGGAAAGAATATGCAGGGAGACTTGGGTCTTGTCACTTTCCATGTTTGAGATTTGGATCAGAGAGGGCACCTGTCGTCTTCCACCAATTCATTGCCTTCTTTTTTGGCCAAAGGCTGTGTCTTTGCAGCCTTCTTTAGGAGGGTTGCTGCTGAGAGTCCTGCAAAGTAGGTCACTGTGCTTTCTGTCTGGAAAAGGAGTACCCAGAAGCCCATGGAGGCCTGTGCGCTGCTTGACCTCCTGAGCAGAGCTGGAGCCTGACACTCCTGTCCTTCGCCAGGACAGGAGACTTGTATAGCTTTCTGCATTGTTGTGTGTGTTCAATTCTCTTAAATATGTGCATCAGCCTTCAAAACAAAATGTGTAAGAGAGGCATTACAGTGAATTGAAAGGAGGCAGATGCTGGCCTGGTGTAGAGCCCGGGCTTGGACTGCTAACAAGTTGTGTGCCCTTAAGCAAGTGCTCAACTTCTCTGAGCTTCTGTTTCCTCAGTGGCAAAGTGAGAACTGTAACCTGTTATACAGGGCAGTGGGTTTACTCATAATGTATGTAAGTGGCCAAGTATGGTAACATTATTTTTGAAATCCCTCATTTGAATTTGTCCTGAATTTCTTAATCATCTCTGATTTGTTTCAAATTCAAATCTAAAGTTCCAATGTGATTTTTGATGGGAAACAATAAACTGTAGACACAATTACTGGTTTTTACTGCTTTTAAGAACTTCTTCTTTAGGACAGTTAAGCCATTTGAATGCTGAGGTTTGAGGCATTGAGGTTGGTATATGGTTAACAGTTTTGGACATTAGTCTACAGCTAAAATCAATGATGATCTCCCAAAACAATTTCAAAGCATAAGCTATTGTTTTCATAAACTTACTTGCTTTACTATAATCAGTAATCTAAGATTTTTCTTCCATTTATGTACTTCTATGATTCTAAAGGGCTAGTTTCACCCTTGCTAGATTCGACTCTGTAACTGGACAGACAGAAAGGAGGGTTGTCTCAGAGGACCTGCTTCCCTAAGTGTTCCCCTTTAACCCAGCAGGTAGGGTGAGATTTTGTTTTCCTTTATAAACTTTCATTTTGCAAATGTTTGTTTAATTACTACTGTGTGAAAGACACAGTACTAAGTTGGTAAGTGGTCAATAAGCTCTAAATATAGTAGGAGAAATAAATCATTTCATGAATACTCTGATATGTCAGAAAAGGCTTGTTCGAGAAGTACAGACAGGGTACAGACAGGCCCTGGATTCCACAGGGTCGTTACACTCAAACCTTATTCCCTGAAAATGGGCATTGTTGGCCAGAGTTCCCCTTGGAAAGCTGTACATTCTTGAAAAATAATTCAGTACCCTCCCCAGGTTCAAGTGCTTGTGAGGCATAGAACAGCACCTTAAAGTTGCATCTCATCCTCCCACCCTGCCATTTTTTTTATTGAGCACCTATTTTGTTCTAAGCCCTGTACTAAATGCTTGAAATATAATTCTGCCTTAAAAGAGGTTACAGACATTCACTTAACTTGAAATTCTTCACTCCAACCTACTTTCTAATAACATTTAGCTAGATTCAGAAATCAACTCTATGTCTTAATGGATAAAAAATCACCCCCAGAAGTGAATTTATGCAGTGTGTTGCAGGCCAAGAAAGTAGTTGAAAAGATTTTGCCAAATGTATTTCAGAACTCTGTCAGGTCCAGCGATTCTCCACTGTTCTCCACCTTGTTAGGATATATGACTTCTGCAGATAAAAAACAAAAGTCTAACAAATAAACTCTCAGTCCCACTCCTGCTTCCTCATACTATGCAAAGGACAAGTGTTGGACGGCGCTGCTGTGTTCAAGCTTCCTCTTGAAAATCTTGCAAAGCTGGTTCATAGCCAGGGCTCCAGGCAGTTCGTCTGGCCTTGTAAAAGTGCACTACAGCTGTGATTCATGGAGAAGGCTGGGGAACTTGGCAGGGAGAAGGCAGATAATATTTTGATTATTTTGGTCCTAGAACATTTCCTAATGTTAAGTGCTTGTAACCAAGTAATTTATTTCATCTTAGTGGCAATGTTCAATCTCCTATTTGGGGCAGGAATGTGGCAGTGGGAAATCTCAGCTTCAGGAGTCTTGTTAATGGATAATTAAGAGGTGATGTTTGTTAATGTGTAGAAAATTAATTCATTTTAGGGCCAGAATATTTACTTAAAACATTTGAGGCATGGTCATGGATATCCTAGGAAGGCCCAAACTGGACAGGTGTTGACATAGAAAGAAAGCATGAGAAATAGAAGTTGAAGAGAAGTAAAGTGGTTTCACACAGGTCTGGGATCCCCCTGCCCCGTGTATGATCAGGTGGACGGTCCTCAGTGCTTCCAGGCAAGCCACTGCCCTCCTGCCACAGGTCTGTGTAACTTTCCAGTGATTTCCGTTTTTTAAGTCCACTGGTGTCCTCTCATCCACCAGAGTTACTCATCTCTCTTCACTGTGGTTGGGCTGCAGGGAAGTGGCCATCCTTCTGATTCCGCTGGTTCATTGTACCAACCGCTGTTTTATCACCTGCCAGGCAGCATGCTGGGATCTTGACTTGCCTTTTTATCAATCCTGAGATACTGCAATGATACCGTAGCTTTTACCAATCCAGAGATACAAACTGACCTCCATTCAAATCACTGGTCATCCCCAGTGTGTGACCTTGAATCACTTACTTAGCCTCTCTGGTCTTCAGTCTCTCCAACTAAGGAAATTGGAGTGTTAAATAACTCATCCCACAAGAATTTATGAAATTCACATCAAAGTGTATGTAGGTCCTTCTTAATGGTAGTTATGAATAAATCCTCTCAAACCCCTGCAAGACAGATATCTCTGTTCTCCAGATGAGGTACTAGGTGAGCTTAAGTGCCTAGTCCAAGGCTTCAGAGTTAATACCAGGCAGAACCAGGACCTAAAACCAGTTCCATTTGGCTCCAAACCATGTACTCTCTCCCCACTTCACCTTGCTGACTGACCATCTGTAACAAAGCACATGCGTTTGCTTTCAGTAGAAGTCCACTAGGTCAAGTTCTGTGCCTCCTGAGTCTCCCCTGCTGAGTCTTCCAGTTTTCATTTGTGACTTTATCCTGGACTCTCTCTTTATTTTACACTGGCCTGAGTCAAACAGCTGGGAAGTTATCAGTGTATCTCCAAATAGCCAAGTCCAGTGAAATGCAGAATCCAGTTTGTCATAAATGTCAAAAAATTGCTAAGGCAATTATGATCGTAGCTTTGCAGGAAAATAACTGTGTAACCTCAGGCAAGCTGCTGTAGTTCTCTGGGCCTTGCTTATCAAATTAGACATTTACAAAATCTCAAGTATTTTTCCCAGCACTAACATTTCTGTAATATCTCAGACCTTTTCCTACTGTTGTTTTTCTTAGCTGCAAAGAGAAAAGTCTCCTTGAAATCATCTCTTAATCAGGAAACACGGTATAATCATCATGCCTGCAATCATTTAAGTGTAAATCATATGCCATTTAATCATCATCCTCATTCAAGCTTCTCTCATACAAGCCTCATATCATTAATAAATTAATTTTTCAGATATGTTTTAAATTTCCTTTCTCACATAATTCAGCTTTCGGAAGAATCTAAAGGACCCCTAATTAGGCCAGAAAACAGAACTTGAGCTCAAATTGTAGAAACTTACAGAACACACAAAATCCATTTATCATTGAATATGCCCGAGTTTCCAGTTAACTTCTGACTGACTCAAATTTGAGTTTATGTCTACTGCCCTGCCCACCAGCATCCATTTCTGGAGTCATAAGAGGATAAATCTCCAATATGCCTTAGAAACAGTAGCCTTCCTACCAGGACACTCCTGTCCTAAAACCCCCAAGGGTCAGTGTCAAAGTTTTGTTGCCTTCTAACAATTTCCCTGGATTTCCTAATTATAAGCAAAACAAAAACAAAAACATCAACAAAACATAATTTCCAAGTGATTTCTCAAGTTTCTAAAAGATAATTATTGAGCGTAAGTTTTACGGGAGAGACATTTTCCACACAGAGACAAACAGAAAGCACCCAACTCTTGGGATTTTATTTGTAAAATATTTGCTGGGAAACGTAGGCTTAATATATGTATTTGACTTGTAATTATCATTTGAACAAAATGAACTTTCCATCTTTGGAGAAAGCTTCTGCTTTATTGCAGTGGTGAGTTGCAATATGTTGTAGAAAAGCGGGCCATAAATTCTGCCTGATGAAGTCAGGATGGCTCACAGAGGAGGCAATATTGGGTTTCAAAGGATGAGTAGACATGTGACAGTTTAAGTTACATGTTGATGTGCTTAAAGAGGAACTGAGAATGATTCATTCAAGGGGTTACCATCTAGGAGGTAATATACTAATAATAGTCACATTTATTAAATGTTTACTTGCTACATAAAGTATTATCTCATTAATTTTCACACTACCCTAAGAAGTAGGTACTATAATTATCATCCCGATTTTATACAGTTGCTAACTGAGGCATAGGAAGTTAATGTAACTCATCCAAGGTCTCATGGAAAAGCAGCAGATCTGAGTCAAACCCCATCTGTCTGATTCCAAACCCCTCTCTCACCCATCATGTCCTGGAAACATTCCTGTTATTTCTCTGCCTAGTTAATGTTAAGGAGGTCAAGGAGAAGCTTGTCAGTCATAAATTGATCTGTAGGTGGATCACAGATTAATAATAAACAAGAATAAAACTGCAGATAGTAAAATCTAATAAAAAGTAGATTTAAAAAACTGTACTTTGAGCAAACCTGGTTGCTAGACAGTAAGCTCATAATGGTAGCCTGTGATAGTTCTGTGTACAAAGATTAGATTGTTTTGATGTGAATAGATTAACCACTGGCTGTTGTAGAAATATTCTGGCAAATTCAGGGTTATGAGGCCCAGAGGGGTGACTGAGAGACTGTCTATCCTGTTGTTCAACCAGCAGTTCACATATGCAATAAGGAGTCGGGACTGAAAAGGAAAAGTAGCTTTTTTCATTTCGGTATAGTCGATTTCCATTGTATTACAGATCTTTTCAACAGTAATTTTTAATTTGAAAATGTTAATAAATCCACATAGTTGAAATGTAGTTGAAAGAGGGTGGCGTATGGGGACTAGAGTCTGGAGTGTGTGTAATCTAAGCTCTAGCTTGGAATACTGAATAGTCTCGGGCAGCTCCTTCATCTCCCAGGAGTGCTAGTCACCGCCTGGCGCACCCAAACCCCTCAGTAAATGGTACTTATTGCACTTTGCTTAAGTGACTTGTTAAGCAGAAATGGGCAAATTTCAATAATGTCTCACTTTGCAACATGTGTCTCTAGGGAACTTTTGTCAGTATTATCTTGACCATCAGATATGGATGGGAACAAGGAGTAGATTAGCAAATTCTTGTGAAAAGAAAATATTTTTGAAATGTGACTTGTGTTTAAGACTACAAACTTGAATCCAATAAAAAGTATTTTTCTTTTGATTGGAAAAGAGACTTTGCAAAGTATGTTCTGTTCTTTGTCTTGACCAAGAATCCACACCTAATAAGGGGAAATAAGAGAGGTTGAGAGAAATTGTGAAAATGGTGTACTAGTAATATTTCAATATAATAGAGGTTTTTTGGTTTGCTTGGCATTTTTTTTTTTTGCCACGGGACTAAGCCATTTAGCATATGCAGTATTCTTATGGACCCAAGAGTCAGAGTTGATTTGAGAAACACTGTTTTGTATAAAAACTGTAAAACCTTTAAAGGCAAGGGCCTACAAGCTGATGGCAGGGCAAAGAACAGAGGATAATGAAGTTCAGCTCTCAGAGACCAAAGGTTACTGCCTCCTCTGCATTCGTCTAACTTCGTGGGATCCCACCATTCAACCATTCCATGAATGCTGAACAGGCAAATTTGAATTCGATTATTTGCACTCTTGAATGGAGTCAAAAGAAAACAAAGATGAATTTTAAAAACTAGTTATAAGAGTATTTATTCTATTTTCAGACATTCTATAAAATAAAGGAAAAGGAAGAAAACAAAGGCATTCAAAAGGGAGGGCCAATTATTTGTGGCCATCTGAAATTGCAATATGAAATACATTTGCCCCCAAAATAACCTAGGATGTGGCTATATCAGAAATTGCAGTTGGTATTTTAGCTATGATTTTAAAATACAACATTCAAGAGAAGACCACAGTCTTGAGAGAGTCACACTCAATACATCCTATCACACTTTTAGAAGTGTCCTAAGTTGTTTGAAGTTTATTTCTATTTTTGGTGCATATTTTATCCAATAAAAACTCTAAGAACTTTTTTTCCCTGTAAATTGCTGCTGTTAAATAATTTTCCCCACGAAAGAATGTCCCTTCAATCCCAATGAAAAACCAAGCTTCTCACTATGGAAGTAACTGATACGGCAGAATGTAAAGCAAAGTATGTTGACACTCATAATTTTAATGTACAGTAAAATCTGAGTGTGTTAGTAAACTTGTGACATAAATTTGTGTCCTTTTAGATCTATAAACATATCTAACATCAGAGAGAAGAACCAAGTAGGAACCACCCACATTCTTGTTTCTCATGAACATTTTGAATGAAATAAGACTATTTTCTTTTGCAAAGAGACTTAATATGAACTCAAGGAAAATTAAATTTGTCAATGAAATATCATAATGAAAATATGTAACTTACATGATCATTTAAGCTCCCGAGTTCACATTTGTTAAAATGATTGGTTTGACAAAATCAGCATACATAACTTTTAACAATATGAAGAGGACTAGCAGTTACAGGACTTACTTTCTTCAGTTTCTGAAGTTACATAAGTGACATCCTTTTAAATGAAAAAAGGAGAAAAATCACACATAGTTCACCCAAATTCGACCAATATGACCACTATTGATATTTGTAGGTATTTCTCTGCTTTCTTTTCTAAATATTTCAGTTGTGAAGTCTAACATACATATAGAAAAGCACATAAAACTTTCATGTGGAGTTTAACAAATAGTTAAAACGTGAATGCTGGTGTACCTCCCAGTCAGGACAAGAAATGAAGCACTGGTGGAGCTCCCTCTCCCCACACGTCCCTTTTCTTACCCTCTCTAAATTCACCACTATCCTGATTTTATGGTAGCCGATCTCTTTGCTTTTCTTGGTAAATTTACCACCTACATCATGGGCACCATATACACAACCCTAAGCCATGCACACCTGGAAACATTCCTGTTATTTCTCTGCCTAGTTAATGTTAAGGAGGTCAAGGAGAAGCTTGTCAGTCATAAATTGATCTGTAGGTGGATCACAGATTAATAATAAACAAGAATAAAACTGCAGATAGTAAAATCTAATAAAAAGTAGATTTAAAAAACTGTACTTTGAGCAAACCTGGTTGCTAGACAGTAAGCTCATAATGGTAGCCTGTGATAGTTCTGTGTACAAAGATTAGATTGTTTTGATGTGAATAGATTAACCACTGGCTGTTGTAGAAATATTCTGGCAAATTCAGGGTTATGAGGCCCAGAGGGGTGACTGAGAGACTGTCTATCCTGTTGTTCAACCAGCAGTTCACATATGCAATAAGGAGTCGGGACTGAAAAGGAAAAGTAGCTTTTTTCATTTCGGTATAGTCGATTTCCATTGTATTACAGATCTTTTCAACAGTAATTTTTAATTTGAAAATGTTAATAAATCCACATAGTTGAAATGTAGTTGAAAGAGGGTGGCGTATGGGGACTAGAGTCTGGAGTGTGTGTAATCTAAGCTCTAGCTCGGAATACTGAATAGTCTCGGGCAGCTCCTTCATCTCCCAGGAGTGCTAGTCACCGCCTGGCACACCCAAACCCCTCAGTAAATGGTACTTATTGCACTTTGCTTAAGTGACTTGTTAAGCAGAAATGGGCAAATTTCAATAATGTCTCACTTTGCAACATGTGTCTCTAGGGAACTTTTGTCAGTATTATCTTGACCATCAGATATGGATGGGAACAAGGAGTAGATTAGCAAATTCTTGTGAAAAGAAAATATTTTTGAAATGTGACTTGTGTTTAAGACTACAAACTTGAATCCAATAAAAAGTATTTTTCTTTTGATTGGAAAAGAGACTTTGCAAAGTATGTTCTGTTCTTTGTCTTGACCAAGAATCCACACCTAATAAGGGGAAATAAGAGAGGTTGAGAGAAATTGTGAAAATGGTGTACTAGTAATATTTCAATATAATAGAGGTTTTTTGGTTTGCTTGGCATTTTTTTTTTTTGCCACGGGACTAAGCCATTTAGCATATGCAGTATTCTTATGGACCCAAGAGTCAGAGTTGATTTGAGAAACACTGTTTTGTATAAAAACTGTAAAACCTTTAAAGGCAAGGGCCTACAAGCTGATGGCAGGGCAAAGAACAGAGGATAATGAAGTTCAGCTCTCAGAGACCAAAGGTTACTGCCTCCTCTGCATTCGTCTAACTTCGTGGGATCCCACCATTCAACCATTCCATGAATGCTGAACAGGCAAATTTGAATTCGATTATTTGCACTCTTGAATGGAGTCAAAAGAAAACAAAGATGAATTTTAAAAACTAGTTATAAGAGTATTTATTCTATTTTCAGACATTCTATAAAATAAAGGAAAAGGAAGAAAACAAAGGCATTCAAAAGGGAGGGCCAATTATTTGTGGCCATCTGAAATTGCAATATGAAATACATTTGCCCCCAAAATAACCTAGGATGTGGCTATATCAGAAATTGCAGTTGGTATTTTAGCTATGATTTTAAAATACAACATTCAAGAGAAGACCACAGTCTTGAGAGAGTCACACTCAATACATCCTATCACACTTTTAGAAGTGTCCTAAGTTGTTTGAAGTTTATTTCTATTTTTGGTGCATATTTTATCCAATAAAAACTCTAAGAACTTTTTTTCCCTGTAAATTGCTGCTGTTAAATAATTTTCCCCACGAAAGAATGTCCCTTCAATCCCAATGAAAAACCAAGCTTCTCACTATGAAAGTAACTGATACGGCAGAATGTAAAGCAAAGTCTGTTGACACTCATAATTTTAATGTACAATAAAATCTGAGTGTGTTAGTAAACTTGTGACATAAATTTGTGTCCTTTTAGATCTATAAACATATCTAACATCAGAGAGAAGAACCAAGTAGGAACCACCCACATTCTTGTTTCTCATGAACATTTTGAATGAAATAAGACTATTTTCTTTTGCAAAGAGACTTAATATGAACTCAAGGAAAATTAAATTTGTCAATGAAATATCATAATGAAAATATGTAACTTACATGATCATTTAAGCTCCCGAGTTCACATTTGTTAAAATGATTGGTTTGACAAAATCAGCATACATAACTTTTAACAATATGAAGAGGACTAGCAGTTACAGGACTTACTTTCTTCAGTTTCTGAAGTTACATAAGTGACATCCTTTTAAATGAAAAAAGGAGAAAAATCACACATAGTTCACCCAAATTCGACCAATATGACCACTATTGATATTTGTAGGTATTTCTCTGCTTTCTTTTCTAAATATTTCAGTTGTGAAGTCTAACATACATATAGAAAAGCACATAAAACTTTCATGTGGAGTTTAACAAATAGTTAAAACGTGAATGCTGGTGTACCTCCCAGTCAGGACAAGAAATGAAGCACTGGTGGAGCTCCGTCTCCCCACACGTCCCTTTTCTTACCCTCTCTAAATTCACCACTATCCTGATTTTATGGTAGCCGATCTCTTTGCTTTTCTTGGTAAATTTACCACCTACATCATGGGCACCATATACACAACCCTAAGCCATGCACTTTTAACTCTGTGTTCTTCTACTTTACATAAATACATTTATATTATGTGTTTTCTTTTGTGCCTTGCTTTTTAAGACTTCAATATTATATTTGAAAAATTTTCCCCCATTTTCATAGGTAGCTGTAGCTTAATTTTCATTATTGTGTAATATTCCACAACATGGCTACATCTTTCCACCTATTAATGGGCATTTGAGTTGTTTCTAAGTTGAGGGTATTACAAACAATATTTTGATATGTGTTTTGGTACAGATATCCATGCATTTCTTTAAGGTATATACATAGGAGTGTAATGGGTAGTCATAAGGTATGGGTTTTAATCATATTTTAATGTAATTTTGTAAGTAATATTTCTATAATTTCAGGGTTATAATAACCATCATTTTATTGGATAAATAATCTTCCATTTGCAACTGAATTTTAAGCCTGGTCTTTTGCAATAAATTCATTCCTCCATTTTCTAATTTGTTTGTAAAAGTTATAAGGAATCTTAAAATGTATAGAATTTATAACAGACACAATCTCATGAGTTATGGTCTTACAGAGACAGAGAAGTTTTATTTGTTTTGCTCATTGTCATGGAAGATATTGAAGCAAATATATTTAAAATAACTTTTAGGGAATTATTTTTTTCTGTTGAGCTATATTTGACATGAAATATTGTGTAAATTTAAGGTGAACAACCTCATTGATTTGATACATTTATATTGCAGTATGATTGCCATGGTAACGGTAGCTAACACCTCCATTACATCACATGAATATAATTTCTCCTAGTTGGCAATAATTAAAATCTAGTCTTAGCAAGTTTAATGTTTATAATAAAGTTTTATTGTCTGTAACCACTGTACTATGTATTAAATCTCCAGGTTTTTTATCTACTAGTTGCAAGCATGCACCTTTAGACATCTCTCCAATTCCCTTGCCCCTCAAGAATTATTTTGAAAGCATGGTGAATGTTGGCGCTGCCAGGAAAGTCCTAGAATTCAGCTTAACTTTTTTGTTAAAGGTTCACTTTTTAGCTGTACAATTCTGTGATAAGTGGAAAGTAAAGCATCACATTTTCCACTCTTCAGCATCTCCCTCCAGACTTCTCTGAGAATTTCTCCATGCAGGCTCTTGGCCTCTTCACTTCATACAGTACCTCCCTACCCAATAAAACCATTTAATGTGCTTTGACACAGGAACCAAGGTTGCTAAGAGACTGCCTGTGCTGAATGTACTTTGTTCTAGCAAGAGAAGACAGAGAGAAAAGCAAAGAGCAGGCTTACCTACCACTACGTGGGATTAATCAGGTGAGAAATGGGTTTTACTCTTCAGTCCCCACCAGTTGTCTGGACTTTCTCTCACTTCTATTTCAGTCTCTCTCTTAATTGTTGTTTGAGAAAATGGAAGGTACCCTTCAAAGTACAGACTAAAGAAGCCCAAGCTGGAGGCTGAGGTTATAGGAGAAGGGAAGGGCACTTTGCAAACTCATATGTTATTCTTACCCCTTGTTTGTGAAACATAGGCAAAAGGAACTGTTGGATGTGGGGTAAATTCTTGGTGTTTACTTTGCCAGCAATGGCTATATAATTTGGGATATGTCACTCTCTCCTCTAGGAATGGGACTAGTTATTACAGAGATGAATCAAAATTGCTTAAAGTGGGGATATAAATCTTGTCTCTCTCCCCTTTCTCTTAAAGCTCAACCCACCTTTTTTGGTTTTTGAGTGAAAACAGAAAATATTTTCCTGCCTCCATCTTGTTGCTTTAAAGAGGATTGAGTGTATATAAGGGATTTTGATGTAAGTCTTTGAAAGTTACTTATTTGACTTCGCTTTTCTGAAAAAAAGACTTAAGAATGGTTCTAAACTCTGACAAGCATTTGGTAAAACGTTCCAACTGGGTTAAGCAGATCACAAATAAATACTTTTTAAAATTCTAGAGTAATTAAAGAAAAACTATTTTAAAAACTGCTTAACGCAAAACTGTGGAGGAAATTAAATGTTTTGTGTCTTAAATGACCAAAATACAAGAGATCTTCTTGGGACAAGATCAAGGAAATGGAAAAGACTTTTTGTTGTTTAATTTTTAAAATTTTTGATTACCTGCCTTTTTCCATGTCTTCAAATACTTCCTGGTAATACTGACTATACAGCTTAGAAGAATGGCAATTTCACTGATGCCAAAAATGTTTCTTTTAGAAAGAAAGGCAAGTTTGGCATGTAGATAAATCCATTATTATGACTTAAAGTGGTCAAGATGAATGGTGGAAAATATTTTGTTTCATTGGTTGGCTGCAAATACATACAGACTCCTGCTTGAAAGGTATTTCTTCATCACTCTTTATAGTGAAAATACTAGATGAAAATTAAAGAACCAAAATTATAAACATGTCCATTTAAGGATTCTTTTTTCTTTTTTTCCCAGGGAGCAGTAGCATTCTGGATATGATGTGTAAAAACTGGATATTAATTTCTACTTCTACTCCTGCAAGTCTGGAAGATGAAATTATGGGAAGACTTTTAAAAATTCTGTTTGTTATATTTGTTGACTTAATATCTGTAATGTGTGTTGTTATAACTTCTTAAAAAGCTAACATCCCTTTCTTTACATGTAAATATCATATTGAATTCCAGTGAATAAAAACTTGTAGCTTAATGTGTAGGGTGATTTTAATATGATGGCATCTCCAGTTCCTCTAGAAACTAACAGTTACAATAAAAGCAATATTGTGTATTGTTTATAAAACATTCACATAAATTGAAGTGAAGTTTTTCTCCCCCAAAATCTATAGTACTGAGTCATAAAACTTCTTTATTTTTAATATTATTGTTACTTGACTAAAATGTGAGGGTATAATTATGAGTGAAGTTGATTTTTTAAGGATGCATACCTATGTGAAATTTTATGTTTCTAACTTTTAACACAATGAGCTTAATATATGACAATCTTTCCATAGGACATACCAATAGTTTATACTCAGACATAATAATTTCATCTGTGTGTAGGTAAATTGTTTTTCTTAATCCTAGGTGATTTTATGTTTCTACCAACAGAAACTTAGAGTTAGGAATAGAAATACTTAAAAGAGATTCTTTTAGGAAAGTAGAACTTTTAAGAGTGGAGAGAAAACAGGGCACAACCTGTGTTGGTTTTCTATTAGGGACTAAATGCTCACAGTATGTCACTTAACTTAGGACTCATAAAAATCCCACCAAGTGGTCCGCATATTACAGATGATGAAACTGAATCTTGGAAGAATTATGCTATCTTGAAACCATAACTAGAAAGTGGCAGAACCAGGTCTTGGGGCTTTACAATCTATAACATCATGTTGCCCCCAAAGGTAAATATTAAGACAAGAGTGGTTAAAAACCAATCTGTAGAACTCAATTTGTTTTCACAATAATGTTTTATTCGAGATCCTATGACTGTGTTTTAGTATTCATTTTATTATTTATTTTCTTATTCCACATTAAAAAATCTTTAACGAGAGAGATTGTGCACCCTTTTCTCATATCCAGTTTGATCATGCGGTCTCTTCCTGTTTTCTTGATTCCCTTGCTTTCTGACAATGTTAAGATACAACTGTTGAACATCTGCTTTTTAAGCTTTTAAAAGACAGGTCTCTCTGTCCTTTAGACTTTTCGACTTTTTATGTTGGACACACAAGCTTCACAAAATCCTGATTCCTTCCACGTGATGACCATCTTCTCGGATTTGGCCCAATCATTAATGCAATGTTTCATAAGAGGCCTAATGAAGGATGAAAGGAATCCCGGACCTTTGAGACTTCTTTCTTAACTGACTCTTTCTTAGCCTGCCAGCAGCAGTGTTATCTAGTTACCCATAAGCCAAACAGAATCAAACTGTTATAGCATTTGCTGTAACAGAAAATCCTGCTTCTTTTTTTTTACAATACAGTGTCAGATCCTTCCTTTTGGATAAAGGGTCACCTCCTATTGACATGATGGGTTTCTCCCCAGCTCCCTCTGTTTGTCAGGTTACTGACAAGGGAGTAAAGTCACACCCATCTTCAGGCAATTGCTTCTTTTTCCTGTGTGCTTGTAGGCGATAGACGCTGAATAGAAGGATGGACTCATAACTCAGATTGCCTGGGGCCAAATCTCGGTGTTTCACCCCTTACAGTTTAATAACCCTATGTCTTAGCTTCCTTACCTATAAATTAAGTGCTTGTGTCATAGGTTTGTAGAGAGGATAGAATGAGATGACTGGTGCAGAGTACTCAGCACAACTCTTGGCATGTGGAAACCCATAACCTTACAGACTGGCGTTGCCAGCATCCTCAGGTGGGAGCAGAGGAGGTGTGGCTTGCTTCAAGCTAAGTGGTAGTGAGCCTCAGGCTACACGTCCTCCCTTAAAAGGACCTCAAATTAATCCATCCTAACCCAAGCATGTATCTGTGTTCCACTGCCCCCAGCATAGTTCTGTAGGAGATGTAAGTCTAAACTGGTGGGCTCTGCAGCCCATTTTTTGGTTATGTTATTTTGGGACCTGGCAATTTTAACTAGTGTGACTTGAGACAACAAAAGCTACTTGATAAATATCCTTTTTCACTAAGTAATCAGCGTCTGAATATGCAATTTCCTATTATAATTGGAAATAGGTTGTTTTTTTCCCACTCTTCAAAAATATTTGTTCTGTTCCTTTTTGCCAGGCATGGTGCTAGGCAGCCAGGTCAAATTAGAGAACAAAACATAGTTCCTGCTCTCATGGAGTTCATAATCTAGTGGGGAAAATGAATGAACACCCAAGTGGTACAATTCTAAGTGGAGGAAGTATTAGGATGGACACATCGGGGTGTTATGAGGGGTATGGAGAAGGATGTTCTAACGACTACCTGAAGCAGCAACTCCTGGGAGCTTGTTAGTCATGCAGAATCCTAGTTCCCCCTAGAACTATTGAATTCAGAATCTTTGTGGTAATCAGATCCTTAGTGATTCATATGCACACTACAGTTTGGGAAGCACTGTTAGGGGAAGCTCACTGTACTAAGTGTTCCTACCATCTGGCTACTGAACAGCTATGTGACCTCTGGGCAAGTTGCTTAATCTCTCTGGGTCTTATACTCCTTGTCCATCTAAACAGAACCAAGAAAAAACAAAAATGGCATTAACACTATCTGCTTTGCATGTCACATAGAAATATTGTGAATGTTAAATGAACTGGACTGAAACTTACATGAAAATGTAGCAGACAGGAGTTACAGAAATCTAAGACCTTGCTATAAACATCAAGAAGACAGGAGTAGCTCTGTGCGGTAAGGGACCTGTGTCTAACTTCAGTAGAATTGAAAAATGATTGTTTTCATAAATGGCAACAATATCCATGGTATGTATATATGTATGCAACCCAGGTTAGGTAATATGTTTTCTTCAGGTGGATTTCTGTGGGTTTTCATAGAATTTAATGTCCACATGTGTTGGTTTAACCAACCCCCTAACTGAACTGGATGGTTTCTTAACTTGCCACAAGTAGATATGCATTATCTGGCCATGAGCTCGAGTCTACATGCTTTTAATTGCATAATCTCTCTTGGAATCAACGCAGATGGCCGTGCATCATTCCCACTCTATGATGCCTTGAAGAAATTATTGTGAATTTGCAAAGAGAGGTCAGAAAACGTCTGCTAGAATCCTTGTTATTTATAAATGATAATACCTGGAATTGAGGGCACTATGCTAAGTGTTTTGCATACAGGTAATTTAGTCTGTTCTAACAAACCTATGAAGCATTTCCATTTTGCTAATGAGGAGATGCAGGCTCAGAGGAATGAGGTAAAATGCCCAAGTTCATACAGGACTTCCTGATTGTGGTGACACAGCTAGGAAATGAGAGAACCAAGACCCTCAATTCAAAACCGCCTTCCTCTAGAGCCCCAGTCTCCCCCATTTAGTCATTTTGCTTCATATCCAGCAGGGAAAGTTAATTATCTCACTCCCTCCTCACTGGATGGCAGGACATTTGCATTAGGAAGAAGCTTCCCAATCCTACACTCAGGGAGTCAATGTGTAAAATGTAACCTGCTGTATATACCCTATTGTGTCACAAAATCTTCATATGACTATTTAGTTTACAGATAACTCTTTCTCTTTTCTAAGACATCAGTCTGTAATAAAATGGCATACATACTGTTCAGTCATGAGCCCCATTGTTTTGTTTTACCAAATGTGAAGTCAGGCTTTATAAAAGGGAGTCTCAGATCATTGTTCTCTAGTCAATGTACAAAGAAATTTAAGTTGTGTCCATAACATCATTTTAATGTGAATTTTTTAATAATTGAAAAATCTCACATACCATTTCGAGTTGTATGTTTCCAAGGAACTCACAAGTGACATTCTGGTAAATGTGCCAATTGCTTGGGCTTAAGAAAAACATCTTTTGAATGACAAGCACTCTGCAGTTTATGAAGCACTTAGTGATTAAGTATTTGCTTGAATGAACTGACTTAGAAAAATAAGCCAGATAGCAGTTCCTAGCTCTGGGGCATGACTGAGATGAACTGCTTCTGTAGAGACTGGGGTCCAGGTTTGAGAGAGGGTCTTAAAAGTGTGGAGTTTGTGCAACCACACCCACAAGGATTTTTTGTTCTGGGCTGCTCTCTGCGTGACTTATTTGCTGGCCTTACTGGGAGCAGTCCTACTAACTGAGCGAGCTGAAGGCAAGTTGCCATTTAGGCCAGCCTGGGGTCAGCAAGGAGCACCAGCTTATTTATAGTCCCACAGGAAAGGCATGCTCTGCCATCCGACCTGGGACCACGGCGAGAGAAGATTAATGGGAGAGCACAGGAAGTCCTTGGTGGCCAACTGGGTTTCCAGCCTGAACCATGTGCCCTTTCAGCCAAGAGGTGGCTACACACTATTCTCTGAAGGTTCCGTGTCTCTGGACTCCCTTCAAGGTGTGATTTCAAGGTACAGAGACTGACCTTTTGGGGGTTGTTTACAAAGTCGATTATGACTTGTACCACGGAGATTATTTGTTCACTAAATATTTATAAAGCATTCACTACTAATCTGATATCATTGCAGGCACAGGGAAATATGATGGTCCCTGTCCTTGTGGAGCTTGCCTTCTGGTGAGGAAGGCAGAGAACAAACTGATAAACATGCGAATTTCCGATGGTGCTAAGTGCTGTGGAGGAAATGAAACAGAGCAATGAGAGATCTTATATGGGAAGAATATTTTAACTAGGAGGATCTAAGAAACCTTTCCTGAGAGGGTGACATTGGAGCAGAGGCTTAATTGCCGAAGAGCCAGCTTGTGGAGACCTGGGGAAAGACTGAGGAATTCAGATGCAGAGGACAGCGGGTACAAAGGCCTTGAGGTAGGTAGAGCTCAGCAAAACATTAGAAAAGCCCGTGTGATTACAGCTTAGTGAACAAGTGGGGAGTTAACTTTTCAGGATTGATAAAAATCAGCTTCTATATAACTTCTTTGACATTTGTCCCACAACTGGATGGTTAGGGTAACTCTCTCATGGCAAAATATGGAAACAGTGTGAGAACATCTGGTGTTCTGTGTTCTTCGTACCAGCACACATCACAACTTACATTAAATAATGAACCCTCTCTGTAGGGGAGTTTTTTTAAAAATCATAAGCAGGGCAAATATTGCATCTTCTGTAGTTTCAAAAATAA